CAAGCTGAATCAGCTCCAGCAATTGCAGTTACAGAACCAGATTCTTCAACAACAAGTAAGTCGAATTCTATCCCTCGCCATTCCTGCCTTTATCGCATCACGCACATTCATTCATCATTGTGGTTTTCAGCTCGAACTGCTGAACGGTCAAGGCAGCACATCTTCCATTGATGCCACTGGTGACCGACAAAAACCTCAAAATCACTTTCTCGGCCTTCCTACACCCGGTGAGTACTTTCTATCATTTTATAGGCAAAACCAGACCAATGAATTGTCAGTTAACTCTACTGAGTTGCACGCCCAATCTAGCCCGAATACAGACTATATCTCCCCCATTACCCTCGGCTATGTCGATACCTCCCACTATAGATCTAATGGCCAGTCACAGCTCCCTCCTGATATGCACCTCCCTCATCATATGGCAACCTCACACGATGCTCGCTCCGCGCCAGCTAACCTTGTCTTCAACACTACCCCACCTATTCCCCTACCTTCTCCTGGAGATTTAGACTTCGATCTTTCCCCCTTAAGTCCCTGGATGGACGCATATAAACCCGATTCCTCTCAGCAGTCGCGGCGTAGTAAACGTACCGCATCGCCTCATGACGACGACCAGGCAAAACTTGCGCGACAGCGTCCTTCACCTTCGCCACGAGTTCCTCCCACCCCGAGCTCCGCGAAGCGCGCACCGCGAGGCACAAGATCTGCATCTTCTACGCCTCTTCTGCGTTCTACACGCACCGGGGGGCGCAAGAACAGTAGCGGTGGGGAGATTCCCGGCGATACCCCCTCACCAGTAGATTTATCGATGCCACCACCTGTGGCGCCAACGCAGCCTTCCGAACTCCACACATTATCTTCCTCAACAAATACGCCACTCACGAATTCATCTCCCACGAGTACTAACGGGCATTTTCAGAATATGACACCTGTCACTCCCGCTAGCATTATGAATCTGGGAGGACTTGGTATCAACAGTAGTCTTGCGCCTCCAACAACAACAGCAACAACAACAGTGAAAATTGACGCCAAGGGCAGATCCGTCACCCGTGGGAAAGATAATTCCACTTCCGTGTCTGCTGCCAAAAAAGGCAACGGTGTCCCCCTTGTGAGCCCAAGCTTGAAACCTATTCTGCCAGGTGGAAGCGAATGTTACCATTTCTCTCACGAGTAGTAACTGATTTTTCGCGTTTCAGCCGGCAATGTGTATGCCTCTAACTCCTTTGCTTCATCGTCCTTGCCATCACCCGTCCTTCGTAAAACCTCGCACAAGGCCGCTGAGCAGAAGCGTCGCGACTCACTAAAGACAACTTTTGATGACCTGCGCACGTTACTTCCTCCAATCCCACTGCCGACCGAAGAAGGTTTTCCCGATGAACCAATACTTCCAGGAGCCATGCCTCCTCGTGGGCCACCTAGAGGTAACGCAGATGGCCCTAATCGCGGTATTAGCAAATTACAACTCCTCCGCTGCGGGAATGATTACATTCGCCTGCTCAAGGAAAAGATTTCAAGACGTGATAACGAGATCACGTTGCTTCGTTCCGAGGTGCAACGTTTGCGCGAGCTGATTAGTGAGGATGTCTGGCGAGAGGGTGCGGAAGAACTTGATCTAGAGCGTGATATCGATCATGGCGAGCTTGGTCTATGGCGTCGGGGTTCAAGCGCGTATGAAGCTGACGATATGGAAGAGGACATGGCAGAGTAGCATAACTGATTTTACAGTGCCACTTTATGGCGTGACTTACGGTTGACGTGGACTGCGCGCATTGCTCTGTGGTGTGATGATTAGGTATCTTGCAGTGGGCCTCTTGAGAAAGAGGATTTTTTGTTTGTAGCGTCATGGTGACGTGTTGTGCAACTTTGTACGGTCTTCTTGGAGAGCCCTTGTGTGGGCCGACTGACTGGCTGATTTATTGTTCTGCCTGTCTCTCTCTGGCTTTGAGCAGCACCACCAATCTTCGGCTGTGCTCCGTGCCTTTCTGTCTCCCTTTTGTCTCTTCCGGCTCGAGGCTGAAGGAGCCTCCGGGGTTTCTTGTCTCTGCATGTTGCTTTAGCCCTTCACACCCCAAACAATTAAATGCAGGTCGATCGGACTTGGAGCTCGGCGGTCGGATGTCTCATCACCTACCTGGTCTTCGGGCGAGGGTACCCAAACAACTCATTGTTTTCTCCAACCAACCATTTTGGCTAAATATCGTAGCATGCAATCACAACGGACTTGTGCTGTGTTCGCTAGTTTTACCCCCCTCCCCCCCCCCCTCTGGTTCTAGTCCTCACATCCCCTAAATCTGTCACGGGCGGAGGGATATCTATACATTCGAGTCAGAGCGACGACGCGGTTATATGGCCTGTCCAAAGGCCGAATGGGTCAGGAGTAACTGAACTGTCTTACATCGGTTAGCATCCTCTCGTGATAAGCTTTCCTAAGTGCAAAGTGATCGCTCCCAATTCCAGCGACTTACCGCCAAAGGAGTGAACGTCCCTCCCCTTGTGTGTTCTTATTGAGACGGTGTCCCTCACTTGACTTGCCTATTATCAATCAAACTGTCGCGCACGCGCTTTTTTCTTTGGTTGGTTTTTGTGTTTTATTTTTATTTTGTGAATTGCCGCAAAGTACAGGGGTTCTGTCTATACGGCGTGAAACCAGTTTTCACAGGCCTAGCCTCACCTCTGCACCTCCTTTCTGACCGACGGTGCGTTTATGGGGAGAGTTGATCTAGTAAGAGAAAGAAGAGGAGGGGCGAGTAAAAAAAAGTCATTGAGTGGATGTCAAGTTGTAGGATGTCCCATTTCTTTCCTTGTTTCCCTCGTCTTTCCTCACTGGCTGGGAGCATTTACTTGGGGGAGGGGCTGGGAAAGCCCCTGTATACCTGTGATTCATCACTCTCCCACTGACAAACCTGTCACTAGTAAAAGCTAGCACATCGATCGCGAAAAAAATCTTTAGCTCCCCTTCCCTCCCACCGCCTCCCCCGTTCTCCGCGGCTTGATGCGTGCGCCTATAAGTAGGCGCTCTTGTTCTGGAAGCTATCAACGCGTCGGGAATGAAACAGTGACGGCATCTATGTAGCGCTGCGTTCCATGATAACCTGCTCGTCCCATTGCGCACGCTGAGTACTTGAATGGAGAGTAGAAGACCCCAGAGAGTCAAAGCTTCTTATTTCAAACGGGCCGCGGGCCAAGAGCATCTTTTTGCGTCAGAAAAGCTAACCAATTGTTTGTTGTTGTTCAGGCCGTTCAGCCAGCCAACTGTAGAAATCTGGAGCTGTCCTGACCCCCCTCCCCCCCCTATAGGACGACGGTATTTCACTACCCACCACCCGGTTTGCTATTTTATAGATAGGTATAGGAATATTCGAGCTAGAGTGTAGGGTTTCTGGTAAACATGCCGTGATATCTGCTAGTTAGGTCAGTATGGTTGCAGGTAACGCTAACACAACAAGAAGTTGTCAGAAGGCAGGCCCGATCCCGCTCTCGATGAAGGTGAGGATCGGTACAGGAAGCTGTTTCTTTCAGATAATGCGGCTTTTATAAAATGGTCGATCAAGTGATCCAGAGCTTTGAATTTTCCTTTCAGTGAAGAGCGTCAGGACACTTGCCGCCCAAGTAAAATTAACTCATGGGTGAACAACAACAAAGTTATGGCTAATACCATCGAAGGAGAGAAATATTCTATATTAATTTATTATTATTATTATTATTATTATTTTGGACTACCCGAAGATAAGATCTTAAGATTACGATCAGATCTTGCTCCAGGCCAGAGAACCCATGCATGCATGAGAACTTAGATCTTAGATCCAGATACCCCATTAGGCGTTCTTGATCCCGTGCCGCCAAGTTGCTTCACTACAAAGTTTTTCTCTCTGTCGACTCCCAACTCAACCATCATTATGTCTCAACCTGGGCAGAGTCCTCTGTACGTCAACTTCCACCTCTGTGCGCGGACGTCTTACCGTTAACTTTCGCATGTCTAACTCGTCAGCTCTACGGTGTTCCTGCTCCATATCGCCTTGGAGGTGCCACTGGCTATCCAGGGCATCTGGGCTCCCGCCTCCCTCCCTTTCCTCCAGCTCAACAACACTACACTTGTACTGCTGAAGGTGCGTCACAAGCATACGAACACACAAGAACTGTCGCTCAGTACACACTGTCTTATCAAAGATGTATTCGACCTTGGCGCTTGGCGTCTGCATTATGTCTTTGCTTTGCTATCCACTGCCTGGTAAGTCATGTTCGTGCATCCGTGACACATAAAAAAATTTCAAAAACAAAACAAAAAAAAAAACAATTCTCAGAGTTCCTTCCTGGAAAGCGAGCCCTTGCCATTGGCCTCTGTGTATACCACAGTATCGTATCAACAGTGCTATTCCAAGCTCCGCGCTTCATCCCGTTCTCCTTCGGGGCCTTCTTCGAAGCGTTAGTTATGGTGCTTGTATTGCGCGACCCTTCGCTGATCATGCCTCATACATATCTAGGTATAAATTTACCCCGGAAATCCTTTGGGGCTGCATGCATGGGTTCCTGGGTCTCGGTTTCGTCACGTGGTGGCAGGGAACTGTGGCGTTCACACAGATGATGAAGAAAGCGGCATAGATACTACGTGACCATGTCATGCCTGTGATTGGGGAAACAGAGGAGAAAGATGAAATTAACTAATAGCTGTCAGCTTGTGATTCATTAGAGAGCTCCATTTTAGGCGCTAAAATGTGGGCAAAGCAAAAGAGGACAGTGTTGGGGGCGACGCGCTTGGGCTCTCGCTCTCAGAAAGAGTCAAAGTGAGCTTTACGCCCTGATGGTGCTATGCCATGTCAATGATATGATACATTATCGACGGGATATAAACTAAGAAAGAACGGAGAATGAGTCGATAATTTGCAGGTAGAAGGAATACCAAACGGGGACCTTGGCATTGGCAAAAAGCTGGCAGTCGTGGATCATCGACAACCCAAAGACGGTGAAGGATATATGGGTCACATGTAACTGACATTGTGCATTCCCGTTTAGCTCAGTTGGTAGAGCGCGTCACTAGTACTCGGGATCAGGCTCGCTTACATAATGACGAGGTCAGTCGTTCAAGTCGGCTAATGGGAATACTTTTTTTGTTCCTTACTTGTTGGAGCGCGGAGCGCCTTCAAAGTAGGGGACGAGCGGAATGGGACTAATTCGCATGATCTTGATCTCCGGTCAAGACACCGTCTTATCATGCATGCATATCGTGCATATCGTGCATATTCCACCTAGCACCTGATAATAGTTTTTTTTTTAAAAAAAACAATAATAGGGCAAGGGGGCGAAACACACATGACCGACGGCTGGTCCGTGCTTTCCAATTCACCTTTGTCAGCCAGTAAGTATTTCATTTCATTTCATTTCAATTATTCAATAAATACATAAAAATAAGTTAAATTAATGATAAGGATAAGCTAACAGCTGATCTCACTCCCCCTCCCCTTCACAGTGCATGATCCATGATCCAATACATGATGATGATGCACATGCCCGACCCGAACGTGTTAGACAGACAGACAGACAGACAGACAGACAGCTTCGACACAGTTTCGTCATTGTCACGTGAATTCTTCTTAGAGATCAATCGTCCGCCGGCGCAGCAGCGCAGAAGGCATTGCGCCGCCGCCGCCCTTTGGCCTGGCTCGTTCAAATTAGTTGGAGCGGTGGTGTTCCTGTCTTGTAATGCTCCCCGCGGACTGTGGATACGAATATGCGCCTTCTCGTAAGGATGGAGCCACTAATTTATTATCATTTTTGGCCGCTACATATACAAACAACCGGAAAGAAAAAAAAAAAACCCCCGGACACAATGGCGGGGCCGAACGGGAACGGGGTGAAAGATATGCACGGCATGTGTTCACATGCTCACAACAAGGTAGTGGAACAAAAAGAAGTGTTTTTTTTTTCTCCTTACACCACGCTCGATGGCACAATAGTGTGAATGTTCTCCGGACCTTCTTTTATTATTATTGTTTTAAATTATTTCTTTCTATTATTTCTTCTTGCTGGTTCCAGCTGCATCAGTGATTGTCATTTTGTTATATAGGCCCTATACACACACCAAGGCCTGGACGATGCCCGTTTCTTTATTTTTTGGGTCCTTTTTCAAATTCACTGTGTGTTTAACGGTCCGCCTTCCAAATCAATCGACCAGATTGAGACTATTCCTCCTGAGGGTACAATAATCGGCAGCCGCACCAGATCCAGCGCGGACGACCTTTACAGGCGAACAGGCGACTGTAGCATTGCGCATTGCCACACCATACTTACACCTGGCGTGTTTATTACATATACATGTGGTAGGCTGGGCTGACTTGCCCATAGGTGATCGAGTTGGGGTACGGCACGAGATAGTTGGTTAACTGTAAGTGTCACGGGATGGGAAAAACAGATTCTCCGCCAGGCATCCACTCACACACTCACACCACACACACATTTGCGGTGACGATGACATGGATCTTTGACTTTCTGGATCTGCCTATCTATGGAGAAGGTCGGTTCGATACATCCCGAGAGGGTTTGTCGGGCGATCTAGGGCTATTAGGATGGATGATGGCAGTAGACAGAACGGCGATCCATGATAGAAGAGGCAGCCAGAGAGGTACCGTCGAGAACTAGTCATTGAGGAGCCTTTTAGATTCAGAGAACCAGCGGATGTACAATGTACCTGCGGGCTGAGCCTTTGGCTGGAGGTAGGTAGGAATTGAAGGGACAATGTCTATAACTCAGTATATTCTTCTTCTTTTTTTCCTCTATAGTCTAGCGCATACTCGAAAGATATTTTAAAACCGCCGACGCTGTTGGATTTCCATAAACGGGTGATGGTGATGGAAGTACGCTCACTGATACAGGTCACGGGGGGGAGCGGACCAGGAGTGGGGCGCAGAATGGAAAAAGGCAAGAGCTGTCGTGGCGGTTGCTTACGGGGTCTGCTGTTGAATCTGATACACATGCTGTGATGGGGGGACCTGACGGGGGAAGTGAGGGGGGGAGTAAAGAAGATCAAGAATGAGAGTGCCCAGGACAGATGAGAGATCGACCAAAAAACTAGGACGAATCAGAGCTTGAGCTGAATGGAGGTATGTAGTGGGGCGGTGAGGGTGGGGCGATACCGTTGACCATTTAGGAAGACGGACTAGGAGGAGGGTTCGGAGTGGGCACACACAGGGGCTTGCCAGTTCCGTAGAGAAGTTCTTAACTCATTTTTTGAAGGAACTCGACTCACGCTCACACTCACACTCACACTCACTAATTTGACGGATCCGTTGATAGAATTATGATGATGATATGATTGTTGATGGTTGATGGGATAGGATGGGGATGGGATATGGGGATGGGATGCCAGTGGGTCGGGAGTTGGGAATACGAAGTGATGATACCCGCCCACGTATGTAGATAGATGAGTGATGTATCGAATTTACGTGAATCACAGAGAACCAATACCCAAACTCAAACCGACCGATAGAGACCCAAGTGTTCCCCAAGTGTGAGAAAAGCGCAAGCTGGGAATAGTAGTTTTTGGCCAGCGATCAACGTGCGCTTGAAAGAAACGGACCCTCTTCGGGTCACGCCGTGGTGCCACCCTGGGATTTCCGGGTTGTGACAAAAATAAAAAACAAAGCGTAAGGATAATAATAATAATAATAATAATAAAATAATAATGATATGATTGTAATTGTTTGTATACCGTTCAGAGTCATCTGGCTACCGGATCGAGAAGTCACTCGAAACGACTTTGGTCCCGAGATCGGGGCCAGCAGGTTGACCCAGAAACCCAGAAATAAGTTTTGTGGAAGGAACCGAGGCTTTTCTAGGCCCGCTCATCAGTTTGGTGTGGTGGGTGGGTAAGAGCGCTCAAAGCCCCCAAAGATGGTTAGCCGCGCTGTCAGTAAGGGGATGATGTCCCAATAGTCCGAATTGTCGGGCACAAGTGATCCACAAAAGGGCGCGCGCGCTGTTGTGTTGTGGACAATTGTGTCTCCACAGCAACGGACGCAAGATGAGGGTTGGTTATTGACGTGGGCGGTGTGGATGGATGAGGAAGGTAGAACGGACGGGGTATATTTACCCCCCCACCCCCCCTTTAATGACAAACTTCGGGTCGGGTCGGGCATAGGTTAGTATTAGTTATTAGTATAGAGTATAGTTTTATAAGCTAGCTAACTGGGATGGGAGGAGAGGAGAGGAGAGGGAATATTAATTATTATTATAATTATTATAATTATTTAAAGTTTCTGAGTGGATGAGTGGATGAGATAAGATCTAATAAGACATGACACGGAGGAAAGAAAGAGAAACCCAGAAACCCAGAAACCCAGAGAAAAACCCTGAAAACGGGGGGAAGGGGGAAGTCTTGGGTTGGACGTGTAGAATGGAGCATTGAAGCTTCTTTGCATGACAAATACTAGGAAAATATTTTGGTTGGTTGGGTTGGGCCTGGCCTACCCGGGACCTGGAATTAAGTTATCTATTGCTCGTGAGAAAAAGTAAACGAAAACCACGTGCCCCATTGTGGGTAATTATTTACGTTTTCCAACCTGCCGTTTGAGTATAACAGCCGGCGTTCACTCACCCTGTTTATTAGGCCACCACTTTTCACTGTTCCAACCCAACACCTGGGATATATAACCTTCCGCTCACATCTTCACCTCGATATCATGGCCGTTACACTTCCTATACATTCCTCATCTATTCCACCCATAAACGTCGTCGTCGCACCGCTACTTCAGTGCTGGCAGGCGATTTTGACCCTCGTCCACCTAGGGACGTACTCACCAGCCTTCTCAATGGCGTCCCTCGATACACACTTGTGGAGTCAGTAGACGACCTGAAAAGAGAAAAAAGGAGGTTTAAAAAGATACGAGAAAGGGTTAAGAAAAGGGCCAAATCGCCACAGAATGAGCCCGCAAATGATGAATCGGACGTCCACCACGATACTCTTCCCTCCATCGCCGACACTATCCTCCATTCCAAAGATTTCCTTTTTGATACCTCGTCTTCCTCAGCTTGGGGTTGTCGACCTGTCTTGCGCCTTGCCACTACACAACGTTCGGTATCCGTCACGCCACCACCGATGCCCTCGTCTCCCCCGACCACCCCGGGGCCATCGATATCGTCTAGCACGTCCCGAACGTCGTCCAAGAGACCACATACCCCAGAGGATGATTCTGACCTGGATGACTCCCATGCCGACATTCCCGAATCATCCTTGCTGCCTCGACCCCGCAAGAAGCGGCCCGCAGCACGCAAGGGATGGAAGGGTTGGGTGGAGGGGTCGCCACCACCGTCAGAAAAGTTGATTAATCTTGATGCAGTACAAGTTTTGGAAGAGCGGCGGACTAGGAGTGGCAAAAGTTTTGATGCGATTGGGCTCGGAAAGGATTCATGGGTTTGAACTGGTGCGCATTCTGTTTTACAGCCCCCCAGTGCTTGAATTTACACCGCCTACCTCTCTCTCTTCTCTAGCACACACAGAATCAAACGGTGACTGATGCTGCGGCGATATGCTGTGCATTGTAGTGCGTACCGCTTGTCGCATCTTTCCTTATTTATTCTTTCATTGGCATTTTTTTTTTCTTTCTTTTTTACTTTGTTTTCTGACCTGTTCTTGCTTGCTTTACCCTGGATTTACTCCGTCGGTTGCTCTGATTTGTTCTCATGTATATCCACCCTCCCCCCGTCCCCCACCTTCATCCTGTTATGCTGGCTTTTGCGCGATCTTTCACACATCAGTACCATCCTCCTGTATTTCATATTCCCTCGTTACTACTGCAGCCAATATCTTCTTCCAGCTCATGCGAAGAATCACCTTAATGTTTCTTTGTATTTCTCTGTTCTGCCTCCTGCTTGAAAGTAGATTACCGTCAGTTTCAACAACACACCTGTCTGTGACGTTGACACAACAAGAGAAAGAATTGATAGAGACTTTTTGAAAGCCCGTTGTTCGATGGTACAGCTATTAAAGGAGGTTAGTATAATAATAATAAGGAAGGGAAGGGGGTATGGGATGAGGGATGGGGGGATGGGTCGCGTCGCCAAACTCCCGTTGCATATTGACATGACATGGATGACATGACATGTCC